TGACTTTTTTTATTGTCAGAATTCTGAGATTAAAGTCAGAATTCTGAGATTAAAGTCAGAATTCTGAGGAAAAAGTCAGAAATCGGACTTTTTTTATTGTCAGAATTCTGAGATTAAAGTCAGAATTCTGAGAAAAAAAGTTAGAATTCTGACTTTTTTTATTGTCAGAATTCAGTCTGAATTCTGAGATTAAAGTCCGAATTCTGAGAAAAAAAGTCAGAATTCTGACTTTTCCCCCCCATGTTAAACTGAAATAAAATTTAAAAATCAGTTAACTTTTTTTTTTTCAGTGGCCCTAATCCTCTTCTGTAGAAAAGAGATGTCATCAGTATGGAGTAAAATTTCTTTCATTAACGTTGCAAACAAAGAACACTTTTTATAAATGAAAATAAAAAACATGCAATCCAGAAAAGAAACCTTGGATTACTTTGAATCAGGAAAAGTTTTTGAGAGTAACTTTGCTGTTTTTTCACTTTTTCCCCAAATCATTATAGTTTAATGCGAAGACACGTTTCTATTGGTCTGCATGGAGTTTACAAAAACAGTTTTATTGGTCAAGAAGGACCATTTGCATTAGGCTTTAAGTGAGGAGAATGTGATCTGTAAAACACAGTTTCAAATTGTTACGGAAACCAAAAAGGTTTAAAAAAAATTTGTGTAAAAAAAATTTATGAAAAATATAAAAAGGGAAAAAGCAAAATAGTAAAATTAAATGTTTAAAATTAAAATATGCAAAATAATATGCATAATATGCAAAATTCACTCCGTATACCAGCAGAGTGTAAACATAGAGAACAGTGCTGCTGCATAAATGGTGTTTATGATGTGCCTCCATAAACACCATTCCCTTTACATACTTTACTTAAAGTTAGGGTGGAAATGTTTTTTTTTTCCAGGTGGATCATTAAAATAAGTGGTCCTCCTAATTGTCAATCAATCTGGTGATATGTTTACATAAGGCCATCCTATGTGGTCGTCCCCATTTTCACTTTCCGGTCTGATATAATGGAAATACCTTCTTTTGGAAAGTGAGCTTGTTTGAGCGATGCAAACAGCAACTTTTAAACAGATGTTGTACGAGTAGAAATAGGCTTGTGCACGCTCTCGCACAAGTTCCACAGGCGTTCCCTCTCAGGTGTGGGTGCAGGGTTGTGCATGTGAATTATTTTTTTTTAAGTGGAGAGTCTTTTCACGGATTTCCGAAAATCCTCCACTGTACCTTTAAAAGCTGTCGGTCTTTTATTTCAATATACATATTCCATTCCCTTCCAATGTAGTTAAAAAAAAAGAAAAAACTGATCTGCTTTTCTTTCTTATTGCCACAGATGTCCAACATTTCAGAAATACACAGTTGCTTCAGATTTATCAGATTTGACACCAGTTAATCTGTTTCAAAGATGCTTTACTGGATTGAGATTAGATGATGATGTTTTAATTAAACTAGTTTGTTACATATTGCATTATCCTATTGAAGTAAAGATCTAAAGGGGTCCCTCTAGGCTGTGTGCTCAGTCCATTGATGTTCACTGTATCAAGTGCATGACTATCCATCCACATTTCAGGAAAAATTGAATATTAAATACAGTAATAGTATATTGTCCATTATTGGATGCAATCGGTCAGTAATAATAACATTTGTGTGCACCCAGAGGTCCATGAAGGGAATACTGAGGGGAGCTGAAGGGGTCAGTGTTGTGTTTATTCCCTCTATCCATGATCAGTTTTACAGCTGCTGGAGAAAAAGAGCTTCCTAACTATCTATCTAGGAACTTTTGAAGGACTCCATCATCGCTCACCACATCAGGCATACATACATTACTAAATCTTTCTGCGACATCCAAAGCTGACTTCTATACATCTCTTTTTTTTTTCTTTTTTTTTTTTGCCTGAAGTTGCTAAAACGAACTCACTTTAATCGATCCATCAGTTTCAAATGTTTAATCAGTTTTGCACCAAGTCATCATTTTAAGGTACTAAAAGGCATTGGTTGAATTCTGTAACAGTAACAAAGAAAAGAAAAAGTGGTTTGTCAGCAGTTAGATGTTAGGTTTGGTAGTATTTAAGAAATTCTGATTATTTTTAACTGTTTTCAAATTTTCTTTGGAAAGCTTTGGACCCATTTACACATTGAAAACCAGTTTGGTCAAATCCTTAATTCTCTGCTTTGAATCATTAGTATTGAAACTAATTATTGTCTCAACAAATGTTGTGTTTGGGGTTATTTTTTAGTTTTAAAAATTGATGGACTTTACAGCTCAGAAGAAGAAAATCAGGCATTTGTTTAGTCATTAAAATGGATTACAGGTTGTCTTATATGGAAAATGTTTGACAGAAGACTGTTTCTGCACCACATAATCGAGATGAGCACCATCTTACCTTATTCTGCATCTTTATATGGAATAAAAATTGTTTTGCAAACAATGGCAAGTTTTATAAATTTGAAAAAAAAAAAATGCAATCCAGAAATTAAAATTTGAAAAGATTTTGACTCAAAAAAAAGGTTTCAACCGTAACTTTACTGGTTTCTCAAAGGTAATTAATTTTTTGTATTGTTTAATTTTTTTTAAATGTACATTTTTTAGCATTTGTTTTGGGCTTGAAGTGAAGAGAATGTTATCTGTAAAAGGCCATTTGAAAATAGTGCAATACGTACACTCAATTTGAAAAGAATACATTTGAAATTAAAACATCTTTAAAATAAGTTACAAATATTTAGTTTAAAAAATATAAAATCTTTAAAATTAGTTTCTTTTTGAAAAAATTAAAATTTAGAAAAATTTTTATAAAAAAAATGTTAAAAAATAAAATGGGGAAAAGGACAATTGAAGAATAGAAATAATTGGGAAAAAATTCTAAAACAACAGAAAAACTACACTCAAAATCTTTTTTTTTTTCTATACTTTTTTCTAGAGTTTCATTTTCTATTTTATTTTTTTACAAATTTCCATTTACAAACTTCTTTTTTATTTCAATTTACAAATAGGGTGTTTTTAAATTTCCATTTACAAAACCCGTTCTTTGCTTGCAACAATAATGGAACAAACTTCACTCCACAGTTTGAAACCTGTCACTTTGTCTGCATCCAGGACAATGCTGTCATCATCAGTTACAGATGCTTTAACCATCTGGGTTCCTTTTTTACTTCAGGTGTCTGTTATTTGTCTTTAAAACTGCTGTTGGTTTTCTTTTAGCATTCATGGTAGTTTGTGCATATGACTTGCCTGAGACAGGCTCCAGTGATGGGGCAGCCTCTGCAGCTGAAGCACACCGCTCCCAGGTGCTTATCTGGATTCTCTCTTTCAGCTGCAGTAAAGAGCTTGGCTGCATTCTTGCTTTGCTCCTGAAGCAGCTGCAGGGAGCCGAAGTTTCCCCTACACATGGGGCACTTCACTATCTCCTTACTGTCTGCCAGCCTTTGGTGGTCGGCCCACACCTTCATGCAGGAGATGTGGATGCAGTTACCACAGCCGAACCTGTGAGGGAGAGGGGTGCAGGAAATGTATCAGGAAAAAGCTCAAACGGCTGCATCAGGAGATCTGAATATCATATTTTATATTATATCCGACACTCTGAGCTTTAGGTTTCCTGTATTTCACATCTGGATGTGCAGGGGGTGAGGTGAGCAAACATTAGTGGGGTCGTGTTCTGGTCGGCAGAAACTGTTCTGACCCAAACCAACCTGCAGTGCGACACCGGCTCTTTTTTCTGCAGAAGCCCCTCCTGACAGATCGGACACACATCCTGGGCTTGAATCACTTTCCGGCAGACGCTTCCAACCTTCTGATCTGGAAGGTTCTGGCTCTGGGTCCCGGAAGCGGCATCAGCTGTGTGTGGACGCTGCAGGACCATCCGCAGTTCTCGACTCGACAATCCGGGTTTAAATGCATCTGCAGCAGGAGTATTTTTAACAAACGTGTCAACGACAGGATGTGAAGCATCAACACACTTTACACAGCTGAGCTGAAGCTGAGTCTCAGTTTAAAATCTATATTACAATTAAACTGGAATTGCAGTGGTTCACTCAGAATGTAAACCCGTATCTATATTTTTATATAATTTTGATCTTTTATGGAACATGGAAAGCCCTAAAAAAGAGTTCATTAAAATTAGATTTGAATTGACTATATATAGACTTTAAAAAATAGATAAAAGTTAAATAATAAGACTGGTTTGGAAAGATGTTAATAAAAAAAAAGGAATACTTACACACATGCTCTCTGGGTAGCCTGAATTTCTTCAGTAAAAGCCTGGAATTGGAAAGATTATTGATTGGTAGACACAGTATAAATAGTTGAAAAATCTCAGTTTATTAAATTAATCAAATTAATTAAAATTAATTTATAGAATAAAAAAAACAATTTAGAAGTACACATTTTTTTTTTTTACACCTGCTCAAATTTTAAGTACAAGTACACAAATTCTGTTCTACAAGTTGCACATCAAAAACCTCTCAATTCTTAGTTTTTCTCCAAATGGTCCAGAGCTACTGTTGCAAGACTATTTGCGCATTGCAACTTGGAAATTTAGTCATTGAATCTATATTTGTGTTTGAAATTGACTTAGAATTTCTCTATGTTGACCTATCCTCAATAAACAGTGCTTGTTCCAACATCAGGCTTTTTATTTCGTTCCATATTGCCAGAATTAGTATCCCCGTCTACTCTACACATCCAGTATAGGAATATACACATTCTTAACATTATGATTAGATACTAGGCTTTGACTTAGGAAAAAGTAATATTCCTACTGGGTATAGCCTATAATAAGTACCCATACACAGCATTTATTATTTCATTTTTATTGCAAGAATAAGGTTGACAACAGTTTTCAATGAGATGAGAACATTTACCGGTAGACACCGAGAAACGAGAGTTTTTTTTAAGGAACGTGTTGAAACGAACAAAGAGCTGTTGGCTTTCAGAAAAAGGAGTAGACACTGCTGTCAGCGTACTGTTTTAAAGCAAATGCTTGTGTTTCCTTTTTTTAAATCAATATCACTGGGAATATTCTGCTATAACATATTAAGTGAAGAATAAAATAACAACGGCCATCTTTCATAAACATAACACATCTCAAATTTCACTTTTACTACTCTATTTTTATCACGTGTTTGATTTTTCTTTGCACCATTTGTTTTAGATCAACTGTAGCAAAACTGAATGGTGCTCAAGAATTTGAAGAGTTGTAACTTTTTTTTTGTAATTGTGATAGATTAAAAAAACATCTACAGTTACAAAACACCTAAGTTATAACGCACAAATAGTTTTGCAACAATAGTTCTGGACTATTTGGAGCAAAACTGAGAATGTAAGAGGTATTTGATGTGCAACTTGTAGAACAGAATTTGTGTACTTTTACTTAGAATTTGAAGAGTTGTAACTTTTTTTGTAATTGTGATAGATTAAAAAACATCTACAGTTACAAAACACCTACGTTACAACGCACAAATAGTTTTGCAACAATAGTTCTGAACCATTTGGAGCAAAACTGAGAATGTAAGAGGTATTTGATGTGCAACTTGTAGAACAGCATTTGTGTACTTGTACTCAAGAATTTGAAGAGTTGTAACTTTTTTTTACGAATTGTGATAGATTAAAAAACATCTACAATTACAAAACACCTACGTTATAACGCATGAATAATTTTGCAACAGTAGTTCTGGACCATTTGGAGCAAAACTGAGAATGTAAGAGGTATTTGATGTGCAACTTGTAGAACAGAATTTGTGTACTTGTACTCAAGAATTTGAAGAGTTGTAACTTTTTTTTGTAATTGTGATAGATTAAAAAACATCTACAGTTACAAAACACCTACGTTATAACGCACAAATTATTTTGCAACAGTAGTTCTGGACCATTTGGAGCAAAACTGAGAATGTAAGAGGTATTTGATGTGCAACTTCTAGAACAGAATTTGTGTACTTGTACTCAAGAATTTGAAGAGTTGTAACTTTTTTTTGTAATTGTGATAGATTAAAAAACATCTACAGTTACAAAACACCTACGTTATAACGCACGAATAATTTTGCAACAGTAGTTCTGAACCATTTGGAGCAAAACTGAGAATGTAAGAGGTATTTGATGTGCAACTTC